TGATGGTGATGGTGGTGATGGTGGTGGTGATAGTGGTGATAGTGATATTGATGGTGCTGATGATGGTGATAGTGGTGGTGATAGTGGTGGTGGTGATGATGGTGATGTGATGATGGGGATGGTGATGATGATGGTAGTGATGGTGATAATGGTAATAGTGGTGGCGGTGATGATGGTGATGGTGATGTTGGTTGTGGTGGTGATGGTGATATTGGTAATGATGGTGATGTTGGGGATGGTGATGTTGACAGAGATGATGGTAGTTATGGTGCTTATGATGGTGATTGTGGTGATGATAATGATGGCGATGGTGGTGATGATGATGGTGACATTGGTAGTGGTGATGTTGACAGGGATGACGATGATGATGTTGGTGATGGTGGTGGCAGCAGTGGTAGCAATGATAGTGATGGTGACAGTAACCAATAAACAGTCTCTGAAATTCCCTGTGCCCTGATACCTTCTAACATTGGCCTTTGTGGGTTCCCCACAGCCCCCCTGCAGGCCCTCTACCTAGAGGTGGTTCCTGTCATTGGCATCAACCAGGAGGTGAACCTCACAGCTGTGCTGCTGCCCCTGAACCCCAACCTCACTGTCTTCTACTGGTGGATAGGCCATAGTTTGCAGGTACACTGGCCCGGCCCCATCTGGCCGCTGTTCCCACAGGCCCCATTTGGATGCAAAGTGGGGGTGGGGCACAGCCCTAGGTATTCAGCAGAAGACACCGTGTAGAATGCACTCCCTACCGTGGAGCCCCACCCTGGGGCCCTCCCAGGGAAGCTGAGAGAGACACCCCATGTCCCTCCCTCCCTCAGCATCCACCCTGGGCATCTGCTTGTGGTCCATCTGTTCCATGGGCACAGAATGAATCAGACCAGACCCCACCTGCCTGGGAAAGAGATGGAAACAAAGGGGTTAACCAGAGTTAGGGTGTGACAAATGTCACAGGAGTGGGCAGGTGAGGTGAGTGAGTGCTCCAGGGAAGGGGAGGCCATTTCTAGTGGGGGTATACAAGGAACTCATGGAAGAGGAGCTCACTGGGGCTTGACCAGACCTCAGTAGCTTCATTCAGAGCCCTGGGTTGTACCTTGTAAGCAGTGGGGAACCATGGACAGTTCTGGAGCTGGAGCAAGCCTAAGTTAGTAGAATGCCTGGAGGGAGGGCTAGGCTACTCATCCTCAGGCTAGGAGCCCCAAGGCCAGAGAGAGGTCTCCTCACTTATTCAGCAAACAGCAGCCCTGAAGCCCAAGCAGAAAGCCCCTCACAGCAGCCGAGGGTCCAAACAGGGCCAGCCCAGGAGGGGGAGGGCTGAAGGCTCTGGATTGTGTTTCCCTGAGGATGAGAAGTGTCCTAGAAGGAGCACAAGCTCCATCACTTCTAGGTGAGCACTCCGTGATATCACTTCATCTGGCAGGGCCTCTGTCTCCCAGCTATGGGGGTGGGGTGGCCTTTCCTGTCTTGTTGTGCCACCTCCTGTTCTAAATAGGTGGTCCTGAGCTGGTGCTGGGTAGCAAAGATGAAAGTGTCTAGCTCATCAACAGTGGGATAGGAAGATGACCGGGGGCAGAGCAGTGAGGCCCAGCTAGGGGCCATGTTAAGCTTCCAAAAATGCTTACACAGGGGAGGCATGAGCAGCCATCTGGAAGAAAGGGGCACCAGGGTACTTACGTCCATGCTGTGTGGGCCTAAAACACTTGTCCCCTTGGCGAGCCCTGCAGAGCACCTGTGATGGGCCACTTGCTGATGAGAGCAAGTAGGGCAGTGTTTGCAGAGTGGCCTTGGCAGCAGACCTTGAGCCCATGTCCCTGTCACCCACTGTACCTCCAGGCCAGGCCCTGACCCCACCTGTGCCCTGCAGCCCCTCCTGTCCCTAGATAATTCTGTGACGACACGGTTTCCAGACATGGGCGAGGTGCGTGTGACGGTGCAGGCTGCCTGTGGGAACTCAGTGCTGCAGGACTCCAGGGTCATCCGTGTGCTGGGTGAGTCCTTCCCAGGGGTCAGGCCACGTGGGATGTATAAACCATGGACGTCCTGGCCACCCCAGTGTGGCCCATGGGTGGGGAGGGAGGTGCTGGCTAAATACGCACCACATGCCCTAGCTGTGTGGCCTCTCTGGCGGCATTTGCCCGTCAGTAAAATAAACAGTGACAACTCCCATGTCCTGTGGCACTTATGGGATGACACACAACTGAGGAGATGGTTGAGTGACTTGACAAGGTTGCTCAGCAGCCAGTACTAGGTCTGGGCCTCAGCTTTGCCAGCCTCCAAGGCCCTGTCTTTGAGGAGTGCCTCGTGATTACATGAGAGGAAGAGGATGCCCTTCCACAGACCTGCAGAGACGCCAGCTCTGGGTCTGTGCCCTCGACTCCCTGTACTCTCTGTACCTCCTCATGGGAGGTGTTTACAACAGAAAATCAGCCCTAAGACCCGAGGACCCCCAGCCCCATCACCACACCAATAGAAACCTCACTTTGCTTTAAGAGCAGCCCCTATTATGGGCAGCAGCCTCAGTTAAATATTTAACAGACAGTGTATGGGGGCGAGGCTGCCCCTGTGGACTGTTTGCACCCGGAAGAGGTACCCCTGCCTGTTCCTCCATGCACCACTGGGCCGGGACCTGTGCAGTGGTCATCCTGCCCCCACTGCACAAGGGAGGGTTGCAGTTCACAAAGATCTTGTCCCTCGAGCCTCTCCACCCTACAAGCCTCTCCCCACTTTATAGGTGAGGCAACTGAGACTCAGGAAGTAAATGGAGAGGTGGCAGTTTAGCTCTGAGGCTCTTGGTGACTCTAGAATCAAAGTGAGCCACAGAGCCTGAAAAACATGTCAGAAGAAGATGAGGCCTCTGGTATCCGGGGATGCAGTCCGGTGGGGGACCAGAGGGACAAGAGGCTGCCTCTGGGGTGTGTCTTCCCTGTTAAGAGGACAGATCCCACAGAGCAGCTCACCACATGCCAGGCCCCCTTTTGGGGGCAGTGTGGCTGTCCTCATCATTGTCACCATCATTGCCATTCTGCTGTTGTTAGAGGGCAGCAGTGACCTGGGCCCTGACCAGCCAGCCCCACAGTGGCTGACACCAGGGAGGGAGATTATTTTGTAAACAAAATCAGACTGTTCTGTGACCTGCTGGTGGGTGGCGGGATCGGCCCCTGGAGGCCATGCTGGACCATCCCGGGCATGTGGCTGCCCTCCCTGGAGGGGTCAGAGCCAGGCTGGCCAGGACTCGTCAGCTCTCCCATCTCTGCCTCTTTCCAGATCAATTTCAGGTTGTGCCCCTGCAGTTTTCCAAGGACCTAGATGCTAACAACCCCAACACGCCTGAGTGGAGGGAAGACGTGGGCCTAGTGGTCACCCGGCTGCTCTCCAAGGTGCCCAACATGCCTGGAGCTAGAGAACCCCAGGGCCCTGGCCACCCAGGGCAGGGTGGGGCGGGTGGTGCTGCCAGCAGGATGCTCTGGCCTTCTGGCTGGCTGGGGAAGAAAACCCTGCACATCGCTTGGGGCTCTGCTCTGCTCAGGGACTTGCAGATGGAGTCACTCATGCGGGTGGGGGGTGGACACAAGATGCATCCACTATGCAGCTCTAGGGAGTGTCAGCTGTTCACAGAAGACCTGCTCACTGCCCTCCAATGCCTAGCATCTCTTTAAAGTGATTTTCATTCATTCACTAAATTTCTTTTCTGGACCAGACACTGGAGACAGAGATAAAACGTGATCATTCCCCTCAGGGAGCTCATAGAAGGCATACATAGAAGGTTGGAGGGGGGAGGCGGGCAGAAGAAACCCAAGGCCTCTGGCTCTCTAATGAGAGAAATACCAGTCCCCTAGGGCCATCCATGGTCATCTCAAGCTGAGGCCCTCTCTGGCCATGTTGTCCCTCATCCTGTGAACAATGCTGGTATAATTGTCCTGGGTGCTGAAGGGTGAATAGGAGTTTTCCAGGTGAAAGCAAATAGAGTGGGACTTCTAGGAGGCAGAGGGACCCCCATGAGCAGCATCTTGTGGGTTGAGGAAGTAGCATATGGCCATGGATGTGTCAGGGGTGGTGGAGAGGTGACTGGAGTCAGTGGCGCTGGGTGATGGGCCTGGAATGCCATAGTAAGGATCCCTGAGCCACCCTACCTTCTGGAAGGACATTAGCAAGGGAAGGCCTGGCTCATGTTGGCCACAGTATAAAGACTAGACTGCACAGGGCAGGGCTGGCCAAGGGTGATAAGGGGCTGGAATCCAGATGGGGGCTGAGGGGCCAAGAGCCTGGGTGCAGGAGGTGGCATAGAAGTGAGGAATGGCTCACAGGACAGATGACCAGGACTTGGATAGGCCAAGAGGGTAGAGAGGATGCTTCGGGGAGCCCTGGCATGGAGACAAGAAAGATGGGAGGATCAAAGTGGCTTGTCTGTCCCTGCAGGAAACCAGTGTCCCTGAGGAGCTGCTCGTGACCGTGGTGAAGCCAGGGCTGCCCACCATGGCTGATCTGTATGTGCTTCTGCCCCCTCCCAGGCCCACCAGGAAGAGAAGCCTCACAAGTGACAAGGTATGTCCTGTGGACACTGGACTCCCGCATCCTTCCAGCATAGCAGGGCTTGGTGTTATCAAAGCAACAGGGACATCTCAATGACTCGTCACATAAAGGCTTATTCTTACCACATCAGGATCCAGCTCAGGGCACTGGCCCTCCTTTGCCTTGTGGCCATGCCGTGGAAGTCAGTGACCTCTAGGGCCACCTCAGCAGAGGGAGTGGGGTGGGGTCTGACAAACTCGCTCTTGTCCTCTCCTCTGTCATTGGCCAGAGCTGATCACATGGCCCCAACCTGCCTGCAAGGGGTGCTGGGAAAATGGGTGAGTGCCATGTGGGAGGACACCAGGGGCACGACTTCAGGACAGAGCAGAACTCAGCTCTCATGCAGTGAGCAGATGTCTTTATTGCATAGGACAACTTCCAAAAACTAGCCGTTGTGGAGAGGTAGGAGGCTTGCCAAGTGACAAGTGTGGGGAGAGGACTCAAAGGTGGGTTATAATCTCCTCACACTCACTAGGATGGCTAAATTAAAAAGTAGATGGTCCCAAGGGTTAATGAGGAAGTAGAAAACTCAGCACGTCACTCACTGCAGGCTGGATGCTGCGGCCTCTGTGAAGAACCGTCTGGCAGCTCCTCAGTAAGTTAAACCTGAAGTCACCAAATGACCCTGCAGTTCCCTTCTAGTTTATACCCCAGAGACATGAAAACATCATTCATAACAAAACTTATAATGGACATTCGTAGTAGAAAAAGTGGACACAAGCTAGATGTTCAGCTGATGAGTGGACAAACCGAACGTGGCCTGTCCTTCCAGTGGACCATCTTTGACCACAAAAAGGGATGAAGTGCTGACTCCTGTTTAGCATGGATGAACCTTGAACCTTATCATGTGATAAGTGAATAAGGCCAGTGACAAAAGACCGTACATTATGTGATTCCATTTATATGAAATGTGCAGAAGAGGCCAATCGACAGAGGCAGAAACAGAGGAGAGGCCGCCGGGTGCCAGGCAGTGGGGATGGGGAAGTGATGGCTGATTGGTAGGGAGCTTCTTTTGGAAGTGAGGAAAGTGTTCAGGAATTAGATGTGATAAAGCTAGCACATTTGGGGAAATTATTAAAAAGCATTGAATTAATTGAATTATATACTTTAAGAAAAAAGAATTTATATCAATTTCCAAAACATAAATCTCACATAGCCTCTAGACTAGTCATGGAGACCCAAGCTCACTCAGGTGATCTGGAAAGAGAGTCCAGCACCAAGGCAAGGGCTGTATACACCCTAGAACCCCCATCAATTTTAGTGTCCCATTTCAGACAAGAGCAGTGAGGCTTGCTAGGGCCACCACCAAGAAGAACCAAGGACATAAAAAACAGTAGGATTTCTATACATTAATAGCAAACTGTTTAAGAAAGAAATCAAGAAAACAATCCAATTTGCAACAGCATCCAAAAGATTTTTTTTTAAGTACTTAGAAATAAATTTGACCTATACACTGAAAACTATATGTATGTAACATTACTTTGAAGAAGACATAAATAAATGGAAAGATATCCTCTGTTCATGGATTGAAAGAATTGATATTATAGTGCCCAAAGTGATCTACGGATTCAAAGCAATCCTCATCAAAATTCCAATGACATTGTTCATTAAGATATCCTAAAATTCATATGGAATGACAAAAGACCTGGAATAGTCAAAGCAATCTTGAGTATAAAGAAAAAGCTGGAGGCATCACACACCTGATATCAAAATATACTGCAAACGCTATAGTTATCAAAACAGCATGGTTCTGGAATAAAAAGAGAGACTCAGACCAAAGGAACAAAATAGAGGAATAGACAGCCCAGTAATAATGCTGCACATTTACAGTCAGTTGATTTTAGATGAAGGTGTCAAGAACACAGAATGGGAAGAAGAAAATCCCTTCAATAAATGTGCTGGAGAAACTAAACATTCATATATGTGTATCCTTACACCATATATGTGGCACAAAAATCAACTGAAAATAAAATAAAGACTTGAACATAAGACCTGAAACTACAGAACTACTAGAAGAAAATAGTGGAGAAAATGACACCCATCTGTGCAATGATGTTTTAGATACGACCCCAAAAGCATAGTGACCAAAGTAAAAATAGGCAAATGGGATAATGTCCAGATACAAAGCTGTGTGCAGCCAAGGAAACAATCAACAGAGTGAAGAGACAACTAAGAATGTGAAAAAATAATTGCAAACCATACATCTGACAAGGGGTTAATATCAAAAATAAGTAACCTGATTAAAAAGTGGGCAAAGGTCCTGGATAGACATTTCTCTAAAGAAGACACACAAACTGCCAACAGGTATATGAAAAAGTGCTAAATGTTTCTAATCATCAGAGATGCAAATTAAAACCACAATGAGATACCCCTCACGCCTGTCAGAATGGCTGTTATTAAAAAGAGATGACAAGTATGGCAAGAGCCAGCTGGATGTCTGAGCCAGCCTTGTCCCTGGATGGTGACTGATCCCAGGGGACGTGTGAAGGAATGAGAGGAGCGAGAGGGAGCCTTACTGTGTGCCAGGCACCTCGTGTGTTTGTTGTGCCACACAGACCCTGGAGGAGGGTGCCCACAGGGTGGGTGCCATCCGGCCACCACCATCTCCAGCCTTAGATGCCCCTCTGCCCCCAATCCCACCCCACAACCAGCAGCACCTCCTGGGATAGTCCCCTCTTAGGCAAGGGGCCTGATTCATCTGCCTGCTCTATCATGTCCTTTTCTCTGTCTTCTACCTCGAGGAAGCCTCCCCTGCCTACCACCTAGAACACCCCTGCCCTTCCCCAGATTTACACACTCCAGGGCCTGTGTCTCTGTTTCACCTGTTCCCTACTAAAACACAAGCTCTTGGAGGACAAGGCCACATCTGGGTAACCTTTGTGCCCCATCAGTGGTTCTTGATGAAAGTTGGCTGGCGGATCATTATTCCCATTTCACGGATAAGGACACTGAGGCTCCAAGAGGCTAAGTGGCCCACCCCTAGCCCCATGGCTCCAGAGGGACTGAGCAGGACTCCAGCTGCTCTGCCCAGCTCTCCTTGAGCCCCTCTGGTGGATCCCAGAGGACTCCTCCCCACTGCTCCCTCTGTGCTTTCAGAGACTCATGGCCATCCAGCAGGTGCTAAAGGCACAGAAGATCAGCTTCCTCCTGCGGGGTGGGGTCCGGGTCCTGGTGGCTCTAAGGGACACAGGCACAGGTAAGAGGCTGGGAGCTCTCCTAGCTCCTCCTGCAGGATGGGTGAGTGTTCCTTCAGGCCCCTGGGCAAGGCACATCGCTCTCCCCTGTCTGCCAGTGTGTCTTCCTGGTGGGCACGCGCCTCCAAGGAAGCCCATCTGTCCCCAGCCAGTCAGAGCCAGGGCCTCGCTCTGCCCTCACAGATGCACGTGCCCTCTCAGTCTCTTGTGTGTCACTTCCCCTTTAAAGCAGAAATCTTCGCTGCCCCAAAAGCTGAAGAGCTTTTTTCTTCTCTGAAGAAAAAAGATATTGTGACCATTAGGAAATCTGGCAGGTGCAGCCCCACGCCCTCGTAAAAATAGAAAGGGAGTCTGTCCACACTTCAGAAGGAAGCACCCAGTGCACTGCTCACATTGCCCAGTAGGAATTGGTCTGAGGGGCAGGGGATCCTCCAAGGCCATGGAGTACGAGCCCCTTGGTCTTTTATGACCGGTCAGCCCCACCAGGAGAGCCCAGTCACTGGTGTGTAACAGCCTTCCATCCAAGAGGACCGGGGCTGGGCTAGGGAGGTCCCAGGGCTGTCTGCTAATGGTTGCTTTGCCTGCAGAGTCTCAGCGGCTGGGAGGCGGCGGCGGCTACTGGGCAGTGGTGGTGCTCTTCATCATCGGGCTCTTTGCAGTGGGAGCGTTCATCCTCTACAAGTTCAAAAGGCAAGGCCCCATCGCTGCCCTCGTGACTGGGTTCTCATGGTGGGGCTGTAGGCAGGCCAGGCCCAGCTCATATAGTCAAATCTGGCCTGGGTAGGAGGTGGTGTGAGTTTGTTCTATGATGAGCTATACTACCTACTCATTGCCAGGAGAAATAGCCACCGCATACCATCTAGCCAGTACCTAGTCCTCCACTCTGCCTGGGGCTTCCCAGCCATCACCTCATGCAGCCTCACCCATCCTCGTTCTCATAGGAAGAGCACTGTCTATTTCACAGATGAAGAAACCAAGGGTCAGAGACAACAAATAACTTGCCTGAGGTCACACAGCTGACCATCAATGAAGCTGGGATCTGACCCAGGCTCAGCTTCATCCAGCCCTCCCCTGGCGAGTGTGCTTGAAAGCTGTGGCATTTCATACCAGGTCCTTCACCAACAGGGGACTTCAGAATGGCCAGAGGGGGGCTGCTCAGGGATACCCTGGGTGGGAGCAGGCAGGCCTCCTGCTGGGGCTGGTGGGTAGCAGGAATGGTATATATTTATTGAGAGAGGCTTTGACACCTGTCTTCTCTTCTGAGCCTGGTCTTTAGCTCTAAAGTGGGCTTAGCACCCCACCCCACCAGGACGCATCGTGCCTACACTGCAGGGGCTGACTGGTCTGAGCTCACCTAGACTCTGGACCTGAGAATGAGTGAAAATGACCAAGCAGTGTCACCAGATTTTTTTCCTGCAAATGCAGCTTCTAGATGTGACCTTGCCATTGCTGGTTCAGCTGCAGAGGCCTCAGCCTCCCTGGCCGTGTCACCGAGGACTGTGGAGGACAAGGCTCACCCTTTCTTCAAGGCTTATTGGGAGCCAAGGGCCCTTCCCCCAAGCCCCACCCCTTCCCTGGAGCCACCTCCCCACTCTGACCCACTGTGATTTATGCACCTCTGGTCTTGTAAGTAGGAGTTATATGTGCACACACTCCCATACCACGCCGTGCTGGCCAAGTGCTGGGGGCACAGCAGGGGCTGGGATCATGTCTGGCACAGCTTGTCACCTGTCTGGTTACTCAGCTCCAACCGAAGGGGCGTCCTGAGGTGCTCAGATCATGTAATGTGCATGACCTAAACTGGAGAACTTCCCTGAGGAGGTGATTTCTGGTGAGGATCTGGATGAGTAGGAGTTTGTGGGGCAAAAAGTTAGAGCAGGGTTCGAGCTGTGGCCTTTGCTGGTTTCCAAACTCTCAGAGACACTGGATGCCTGAACGGTCCCCTGGGGATTTCACAGGCACTAAATTCACCTCAAACTCAGCATCCACTCCCACAAAAGCCCCTCCTGAGCGGAGAGCACATCCCTCAACAGGTGCCCTGGCCGGAAAGGACCCCTCCTTCCTGTCTGCTCCCTCCCATGACTCTGATGGCAGCTGGTAGTGGGGTTTATCATGGCAAGGAAGCAGCAGGAGTGGCCTCTGCCCAACCTTCCTGGCACTAAAGCCAGCACCCCCTATCTTGCTCCCCCAAATAGAAGCAGCTTAGAGCTCGTGCTGACAGACCTGGGCTGTGCCTCTAGCACTGGCTCTGGGCTCTGAGTTTATTGGGCCAAGGGCCCTCTTGCCTCCACCCCTGGAGCAGTGGGGACCTTAGATCCATAATGCACATACTTGATCCTTTGGACAAACAGAATTAGTCACAGGCCAGCCCTCCCCATCCTCCCATCAGATAATCTCCAGAGCTGCAGTGATCAGCCACATCTGAGGAGGCTCTTCTGTCCCAGGGAGCCTCCATCCCCTCAGCTGTGAAATGGGACCACCACCCGCTTCTGGGTTTAGACTGGATTAACTGGGGAAGGCCCTGCACCTGGTCTCAGTGAAGGCCGAAGAGCTGTGCCCACATCTTCCCTTCCTCTGGTGCCTGGAGAGGAAGGGAATTGAGGATGTCATGATCCCAGGAAGCCTAGACAGGGCTCAGCAAGCACCTCTCCAAGCGTGTCAGCCTCAAGCACCATGTGGGAATGTGGGCACCAACCCAGCCGGCAAAGTCACCAGGCCATGGGGAGTAACGGGGGATACAGTGCCTCTTCCCTGCAGCCTGCCCTCGGGCCAGTTCTGAAAGGAGATGGACAAGCAGACAGTGATCCCGCTGTGTGTCAGGGCAGAGGGAAAGGCGGGGCTGAGATAGCACACATGAGGGAGGGCTTTCTGGGGGAGGTGTCTGCACGAAGACAGGGCTGGAGGCAGGAGCCAGATTCTAGTGCATCGTCTGTACCAGGCGCCATACTTGGAGTGGTCAGGGCCCCGCTGAGGGTTCCAGGGAAGAAGGCCTGGGCAGCCCCCCTGAGTTGAGCATTCCCACCCCTGTCCAGCAGGAAACGCCCAGGCAGGACCGTGTACGCCCAGATGCATAACGAGAAGGAACAGGAAATGACAAGCCCCGTGGGTCACGGCGAGGACGTCCAGAGCGTCATCCAGGGTGAGGGGTTTATAGATGACCATCTCGACTCACAGACTCTAGGTAACGCCCACCCAGAAGCCCACCCCCCACCTTCCTGCAGGCCATCCCACCCAACCGTCTGGGCCAGCAGGTGTTCGGGACCCTGGGCCAGGCAGACCTCACCAGTGGGCACTCTGGGCCTGTTGCACTCCTTCCATCTGAGAGGGGGTAACAGGATCCCCCAGGGTTGTGCGAAGGGACTAAATCAGGGACCTTGTGCAGTTGGAGGTAGTGACTAAACAGCCCTGTGCAGTCTCCGTCAAGCAGGGAAAGGATGGAACAGGGCTGGCTTCCCTGAGGGTATTAGGGGCATTCCCCCTGTAGCCAACTGTGCTGTTCACAGCAATGATAACTTAGTGAGCATCTCACATATGGACACGCAGTACAGTGCTTTACAGTTTACACTGTATTCTCATTGACGTGATCACATTTACTTCTGGCCATGCCCAGAGGGCACAGTATAGTCAGGTCGCCCAGCACAACAATCCACCCTCTTCAGGGGCCGTCATTTATGGCCATTTTCTCTCATGGTTTCTGGGGATCGACTGAGCTCAGCCGGGCCGTTCTTTCTCAGGGTGGCTCATGAAGTTGCAGGTGATGGCTAGGGTAGTAATCATCTCAGAGACTTTCTCACTCAGATTTCTGACAGCTGGGTAGGGAGCTAACCCCTCCCCTGGGGCTACTCCAGAACATCTGCACCTGGCCTCTCCGTGTGCCTTGGGCTTCCTCACAACATGGCAGCTGAGTTCTGAGCTGCTTCCCCTCATGACGTGGCCTCAGGGCCAGGCCCTGTCACCTGACTTTTTGCTCTGTCAGTCTGCTTACGTTCAAGGGGAGGGAGCACAGACCCCACTCTTGGAGGGGGAAAGGCCAGGCCACACCATATGAGGAGCATAATAGATTGCTCTTCCTCTCAACAAGTGGAGAAAGAGGCCTGGAAGGTTCTGAAACTTACTGACAGAGCCACGGTACCAGCCCTGCCCCTGCATCAGGCAGCATGGCCATTGGCCAGGCTGTACAGGGCACCTTCCAAGATGGTCTCACCTCAGCAGCCCAGGAGGCAGGCTCTTTTCTAGAGATGAGGAAATCAAGGCACAGAGAGCTGAACTGTCCCTTCCCAGGGACAGTTCCCTGTGCAGGCGGAAGCAGAGCTGGCACTCCCAAGCAGGCAGCTCCCAGAGCCCGACCTTTCCCCTGAGTTTCTCTCCTATGCCTGGATTTGGGGGAACACCAGCTCCTGCCACGCAAAGTGCAGTACACATGGGAGCCCCATCACAGCCCTGACAGCATTGTTATCCAGCTTTAAAAATCACTCAGACCCCATACCCCGTTAAGTCCCCAAGAAGTCACTGTCCTTAAGTCTAAAAGTACTGAAAGGAAGGCTCCTAGGGGTGAGCTGCTCACCCAGGGCGGCACGGCTGACTGGTGGCTAACTTTGACCCCAAGGCTATGACCTTTGCTCTCTCCTGAGAGCAGTCAGGGAACTGAACCAGAGGTTGTCACTCCTTCTCCTGCCCTCTGCAGCCATCCTGGGGCCCCCAAGCTGTTTGCATAGTGGCCGATCGCCCCCACTTCCGCAGGCCCAGGGTACTCCTCACAGGTGATGCATCATGTCTAAGAACCACAGAGCAACCCCTGAGTACTCGCTGGGCCCTGCTCAGGGCTGTCCAGACATGATTTGTGAGGCAGACCCTGGCATTGTGTCCATTTTACAAACAAGAAAGCTGAGGTCCTCAACATAGCTGACGGGGATGCAGTCAGCCTCTATGTCCCACCCTAGGGACTCCTACCGCAAGCCTGTCCCTTGCTAGGGCAGGAGCTAGGCTCAGGGTGCCCCTTTCATGCAGGTGATGTCACCACCCCCATGAGAAGGAGGCAGCGCAGCCCTACGAGGATCCGACCTTCCCGAGGGGAGCGGGAGATAGGTGGCTTCTCGGCCTCTGATAGCTACTCATATTGGTGCCTCTAAAGAATAATAATAGTGCAGTAATAATGTAATAGTTTGTTTTAATCAGTCCCTAGTATGCAGCCAGCATTGCCCAAATGCTGTGGAGGTATTTTCTCACACAACTCCAGGACAGACCTTTGTAGGGGTGTCGTTGTCACCCTTGAGCTTGCCAAGCCCAGACTCAGCCCCCAGCAGACCCCCCCGGGATGCCCACTCCTGACAGCCCTTCCAGCTATGCCCTAACCCCCTCCTGGTCGGCTGCTGACGTCTCTGTGCACCCTCTCTCCCACTCACGCCTCTCGCGACTCACCACGCCACACCCTGCAGCGCCCACTGCCAGGATGAGCCGAAGCCTCAGCCCCTCCCACATCCCCCTGCTGCCAGTGCCGGGGTTCCCTGTGCAGGTCAGTGGTCTCAGTGGGGGCCAGCAGGGCCTCACCTCACAGGTCCTCTGCATCTACTGCTCACAATAGCACTGGGAGACCACACTCCTCAGTCACCCCCTGCACCTGGCTCCAGTTGAGGGGCCTCCAGAATGCCCCTGCACACTGGCTCGACTCACTGGCTAAGGCCACTACCCTGTACTAAGAGGCCCTGTCTCCCTGCACTGGCTGAGGCCACTACTGTGTCCCAAGAGGCCCTGTCTCCCTGCACTCACAGTGCATCTCTCCTGGTTCCTAGGCAACCACTCTGGTGTGGTCCTGAGCATCAACTCCCGCGAGATGCACAGCTACCTGGTGAGCTGATGTGGCCAGGCCCACCCGGCACACTCCTCTCCCGTCGTTTCACTCCTGTGGAGGGCACAGAGCCACAAGCGAAGCCAGCGGCTGGACTGACATCCCCTCAGAGACTTGCCGAAAGCCCCCTCCTCCAGCTGTCCCCAAGCCAGGCAACAGGCACCCTTCCTCTGATCAATCCAAGTCTGCCAACAGGACCCCTGGGGTGTGGGCAACCCCTGCCCCTCTAGGGCACCAGGCTCACGTTAGGGACAGCAGGCCCACCCAAAGTGGCTCTGTCCTGGACCCCACACAGGCTGCCCTGTGTCGCCCAGCCTGAGGCCTGGTCTGACTTCTCCTGGCTGAGGTTGGTTAGTACCGGAGCCCTGTGCCCCCGCTGCAGGAACCGTGACCCACTCAGACACTTGGCACTGTGTCTGTCCCTGCAGGGATCACAGCCTTTCTGGACTTTGCTTCCCTAGTCCCTCAGCCATCCCTCTGTGGGAGGGCCTGCACCCCTCCAGAGCCCAAGGCCTTGAATCAGGCGCTCCCCTCACCACCTCCAGGCCCTCTGTCGTGGTGCCTGTTAAATGTAAATACCTCTCTGGGTGGCTGATTGCAGGGGTGGGGGGCGGTTCAGCTTTCTGTTTCTGAGGCTGGTGGTAGCCACCTGGGTGCTCCATCTGAGGCCCCAACTCTGGAGCCCCCTTTCCAGAAGGCCCAGGGCTCCTGGGGGCCCAGAAGCTTGGCCTGGTTTTCCCCTAGGGCTGGGGGAGAGGCAGTGCAGGCCCCAACCTGCAGGTCCTTGTGTCGCCAGCAGGAGGTGGCCCCAGGACTATTCTGAAATGGCTGCCTCCTGCTGGGCCTGAGCTCTGGAAGGAGCCTGAAGCCCCCATTAGGTGGGTGGGGGTGGCCCCAGGATGCACCTCCTTACAGACCAGGAGGGGTTAGGAAGGCACAGCTGGAAGGGCTGTCTAGAGCACGCCTCTCATTTTGAAGAAGGGGAAACTGAGGCCCAGGGAGGGGAAGGAGGGTAACAGAGGTATTCCAGGACCCACGCCTCTACTCCCCAGCACAGGGCAAGGTCCACTCATTCAGTTTTCCTAGAATCAGGGATGCTAGTGTACGTCTAGACAACGAAAGGGGGGTGTTCACATTTTGCCTTGAAACAGGAAGTCAGTGTCCCCTCCCCCTCCTCCTTCCCTATCCCCTCCCTTGCTCCCCTCACCCTCCTGCAGTGGCTGTGGCCTCTCTGTGGAAGGTGGGAACTCTGGAGTCCAGGCTAGTGGCTCGGGGTTGGAGGGATCTGAATGAAGACACAGACGCTCTCATGTGCACCATGTCAGAGCTGAGGGGCGTCTGACCCAGTGTCTCTAGTTGAGAAACATGACCTGTTATGGGGGTATCCAGAATGAGTCCTTGCCCCATGACACTCAAATGCTGTTGAGTGAGTGACCCATGGGGTCCAGGTGGGGATTCCAGGACTGTGGGAACAAAGGGAGTCACTCCAGCCACACAGCCAGGTGGTGGAACTGTCCCAGCTGGCCCCAAATATCTCTCTCCCCTTTGCCTGCCCACCAGTTGGGTCTCCTGGACCACCCTCCCTCGAGGTCGCCTTATAAGTTATCTTCAAGGTCCTCCTGGGGACAGGGGATCTGGGATATGAAGCCGGCAGAGCCAGTGCCAATGAGAGGCTGTGACTCTCCAGGACATTTGCCACATTCCCCACTCACTTATAGTCTCCAAAGACGCCTTTTCAGAGACCGGCACCCTCCTGGCCACCCTATCCAGCACCTGTTCCCAGCCAGCTACCAATCATAAGCATTAGCCACACAGGGACAGACTGCAGCACAGTCCAGGTCCGAGGTCCGTGGGCAGCACAGAACCCCCAGAATCGGCCTTCCCACCCTCTTTAGCTCACCAGTGCCTGCGGTAACCAACTGTAGGTCTTTGACCTTCCTTGACCATTCAAGTTAATCCTCTCAAATGTTGGGGTAGGGATTTTTTTCCTTAGTTATTTGTGGTTTTCTTATATTTTATGTTATTATTTCTATTAAGAACATTTGGGGTGTGTGGACCCAAGAACCTGGGAATACGATGGCATCTGATATAACCTAATACGTTCCCACCTGCATAACCGTATAGATTGATACATAGGCCTATGAATTTACCTGGTTATAAATTTGAAGTTCCATGTATGTGGTATTCAGGTATACACACAGGCTCCTGGAAATACAAGGGGACTGGCTGCGAAGCCTGTCACATTTGACCAGGCCATGCGCACACAGGTATATGCACACAACAGAGGTGATGTGTTCTTTCTTATTTTTTCCTTTTTAAAAATCAATAAATCATTTGTGATGCTTTTAACAAAGATTAAATTAACATGATCAGCTTATTCTTTTTCATGAAGCTATTTCTCAACATAAAAGCGCACACACACAGGCCTCTAGAACTGTGGTCCCTGAAGCAGTGTGGCCAAGGACCCACGAGAGTAACAAGGCAGCGGCTCCTGACACTTTGGGAGCAGGTTGCAAATGACATTAACCTTCAAAGTTGACTCTCTCACACACCTGCTCTGGAGCACTCCGCACCCGTGGACTCCCTCCTCTCCTAGGGCAGCATGGGTCTGAGCAGTAGCATCCAGTTTGCTAGGAGCGAAACAGAGACCTGAGGCCTAGGCCAGGCGTGGTGTGGCACAGCCAGTCCCCTGCAGATGAGACTTGTCTTATCTCTGCAATGATCTTTGCAGAAGGCCTGGACCCCTTCATCACTAGCCTCAAAAAAAAACCCCAAAATTGTTTACTGTCCCTGGTGGCTGAGTGTCTGCTTTTCTGAAATTTCAACTGTTACATCTGGTGAAGAACGATCTTATGTTTTTCCTACTCTCTGGTCCTGTATGGTTGGAGACAGAGATGGATGAGCATATTTTCCAGACGTGTGTTGTGGTGGCTAAGTGGTCCCCAGCACATCTCCAGAGTGGAGTGAGGCTTCAGCTGCCAGTAGGCTGTTCACGGGGTGAGAGCCCAGAGGGCCTGAGAGTGGAGGCCTGCCACTCCCCACCACCCCCCACCCCTGTGTCCCCCACCCCCGTATCCCCCACTCCCCGTGCCTGCCTGTGAAAAGACCTCTCCCCTGCTGCCCTTGCCCTCATAGATGGCGAATTTGCACGTGAAAGTGTTCTAAGCGGGCTAAGGAAGCAGGCATTCTTTCCTCAGCCCAGTGAGCTGACAGTTCCCTAACTGACCTGAGCAGGAGTCAGTTCAAGGCGGGTCTCAGGTCCGGGGAGGTGGATGCAGGGAGGTGGGCAGGAGCGACCCCCTGCATGTGCACACGCCTCCTTCTCTAGGCTATGATACCTTCTTGTGGAGTAAAAACGGTGGTTTTCAATATCAATGTTCTCAAAACTTCCTGCCTGATCTCTTCCTGCCCCTTTGAACTTGTGCCAGGCCCTGGGCTGGGCACTGAGCCCCAGGAGCAGTGAATGACTCAGACCAGGAGCCTGAGCCTCAGGGGAGACCCAGCCATGGGGAGGCAGGTGATGACCACCCAGCTCAGCCAGGGACCCAGGGTCTCCCCAGCCTGGGGATGGTGCTGGAAATCCACGTGAGAAGGGGGATGGGAATCAGACACACACGGTGGGTGGACATGCAAAGGCCAGCGAGGGCCGTGTTTTTGTGTGAATGAGAGTGAGGTCTGGGCAGACTATGCACTTGGGAGAACTTCAGCATCTGACTGTTTTATCTTCCTTGTTCAACTGCCAGGACTCAGGCAAGATGTGCAAATTCTTCAACCAACCCGACTGACAATTTCAATTCAGTGTGCCAGGCTCTGTGGAGCGTCTTCTCCCTGGGAAAAGGCTAATGAGTGTGATAAAGTGCTTCTCGGCCCCACGTTAATGTGTCTGGAGCCAGTGCTATGTGACCCTGTGTGACTGGTGGCAGGAAGCCAATGGGACACAGGACAGCCAGGCATGTGTCCAGGTGATCACCACAAAAAGCCTGCCCTGCGGGCTCTGTGTGTCTAGCCTGAGCTTCTCCTGGACAGGGCAGGTCTGAGCTCCCCAGTTTACAGGGAGGAGAATACCAGGTGGTTGCAAGGGGGCCATTATTTGTAGCTGAATTGTGAGGCATAGTTCCAGCTAAACCCCAAATCCCAGGTAACCTTGAATTTGGTGTCCAGAGTCTTTTGGGTAACAATCATCTCAAAAGAACAGACAGAAATGTGCATCATGGGCAAACTGTATTAAGAATACAAGGCACGTAGAGCAGAGGTCTGTTGTCAGTGTTCCTTTGTTTCGATTGGTGAAGATGGCGTTGGTAACAGAGGAAACACAGGCTGCTCCCAGGGGCCCTTCCAGCAGGCGCGCCTGGCAACTCTCGGGAGTGGGGGCATTTCTCAGTCTGTTTCCGTGGCTCACCTGAGACCCCTCCAGAGGATGCTGGACCAGCTCCTGCACCAGCTCGAGAAGAGAGCTGCACCCCCAGAAGCACTGTGGGTGGACCCTGCTTCTGAGGCTGGTGTCAAGACTGGCACCCATCTCGCGGGGATTGGTACAGTCAGGGTAGATGGCCTTTCCAAGGAGATGAGAAAGAAGAAAGTGGCCCCTCTGCATCTGGAGCCACCAGGCACTTGCAGCTGGGTGGGCCTGGGCCTTCTCTGACCCAATACCAACAATGTCACCTGTCACTGAGCACCCTCACCAGACAAGGCCGCTCTGTGACCATGACAGAAAGACGGAAATGAGACCACTGCTCAACCACGTCTGAGTACAGACCAGACGTGAACGCTGCCCAAGGGCCCCAGTGACCAGACGCCTCATCCTGGCTGAGAAGAGCATGGTGACTTTAGCCTCCCTGAGGTGTCCCTCCGTCTGGATCAGACCAACTAGCAGCCCAGTAGGACCCATCTCCCAACAGCACCGCTAGAGCCCAGCCGGCCTCCTCCAGCCTCCCCAGAGCCCAGCTGGCCTTCTCCAGCCTCCCCAGAGCCCAGGGGCCTCCTCCAGCCTTCTCCGGGGTCATCCCCAC